CTGTTCTCTTCCTTCACAAAATTTTCTTAACTCCTCTCCTGATAACCCTAACTGTTTTCCTAGATTTATGTATTCTGCTAGGTTTGACATTTTAGAACTGATTACTGTAATTTATTACTTTTGAAACTGTTTAACTTTAAGATAAATCCCGTATTATTTAATTTATACCCTTCTTTAACTAAATAATTGAGATTTTAAATTTAATTATATCCCCTGACAAATTTTTATACTCAATAAATAAATAAACAAAAATAATCTATTTTACTTAAATAGAATAATAGAATATCACAATCAAAGAACCTGAAAATAGAACAAAGAAAGCATGTAACAATGTAATGAGTTGATTCTTTTTCCTTGGTCCTGGTGATGGCTCCCTTGCTCTTCTGCTGTTGGAATGGACTGGATTAGGTTTGTGGCCCTTGATGCTCCGCTGCACGTCTTTACTGTCTCTGGACACGCTCTTCTGATCTTTGTAGGACACTGCTCTTGTCTTCTGTCGTGGTCTAAGTCTGCAGATGATCTTAAAAGACTATCATTAGTTTATGCTCATTCAATAATTCAAATATGTCCAAAAGTCTTTATACCCTGAAGTTGATCAGTTGGCACAGATCACTAAATGTTCACAGTTAGCGCATATTAATTTCACTAATTGTCACCACAAACTGTTGATAAATGTTAGATTCTCACTAAAATTCTTTTCTTACAAAGAATGTATGTAGTTCTACTCTACAATCTGAATAGTCATAGTCTATCACATTAATCACTGTTTTTCCTGTCTATCCATTATAAATTGTAAACATTTCGTGACGTAATTAATGTTGATAAACACCACTCCTTCCTTGTCTACACAATACACACGAACTCACCTATACGGACGTATTACAAACATTTAGTAGTAAAAGTACTACTGCTGGTACTGACTGGACCCCGTTCTTTTTTATTGACAAGTATTCTTAACCTGAGGCATTCACTTGTGGCTGGTGTGCTGTACGGTTGCCTCGAGTTAGCTGTCGCTGATGACGTTTTATCTGCTAATGTGTTGTACGTGACCGTTGTTGATGACCTTGCTCGCTGTAACTGAGTGCCGTCTTGGCCCCTGGCCATGCAGTGTTCTTGCGGTGAAATCTAGTCCGAAAATTCGTATCTCTGGTTTATGACCTCTTGTTTGACGAACAAAACCCACGTCAAACAACAGTCACAGGGATACCGTTGCTGACAATTTTCCGTCGTGGATTACCCACCACAAGGGTCAAAAGTTCAGCTTACAGTCTCTTCCAGCGACGAACAAGCGTTCCCGCGGGATGAAACGTGTACAATTTTTTCACACGTGAAGTGAATACATTACCCAGTATTGCTTCGCCGTGTTTCTGCCCATTTTTCTCAGGCTAGCTTGTTTGTTTCAGAATGACTAGAGTCTGGAATTCAGTTGTCCCGGTTTTACTTAATGCCCTTGACAGCATGTCCTGGTCTTACATAATACCCCGACATTTCTTTAAACTCCATCTTCCAACACACATAGTCACTCAAAACTTACGGCTGCCGGTATTTGCCTAAATTTTACTTCTGTCCACAAAAACACTACGTCTAATGTACTGGCATAGTTATAACATGCCTGCACTGTAACTTACACTTATAACTTACAATGTATTCGCACTTAGGACGGGTCCCCAATGTAATGACTGCCCTTTTGTGTCTCCTCCACACTGACTATCTGTGGTGCAGAGTTAACACTGGCTCTAATATCTAGAGGTTCACAACTCAATCAACGCAGACATGATCCTCTTCATGGTCACACAACGACTAACAACGGTTAACACCAGCGGCACATTTCACGAGTTTATTTACACGTTAGCTCAATACACAAATCACAGGTGAATCCACTTACAGCATTCGGACAATAGACGTTGACATATTCACAGCTGGCTTTCTCGATCATTCATTCCTCGCCGATTCAAATCCACATGCTCTAGTCATTCTCCATTCATCTTCACAGCTTCATTTTCCATCCTTTCTCTCTGGGGCCCAGTCACCGAATGCCCGCCTGATTCTCAATCCCCCAGATCTCCTCATTCACACGTGACACACTCTTTCCTGTCGTTTCACCATATCTCCGTGAAACCCATGCTCTCAGGGGCTTCCCCAGTTATGCCAATCATCCCCTGACATTATCCCTATTTATAACATCATTACACTGCTGTCTTTCACACTTGCTAGTGTCTCTGGTTTCTGCTGTCTTTCACACTTGCTAGTGTCTCTAGTCTCTGCTGTCTTTCACACTTGCTAGTGTCTCTGTCTGGTCTCTGCTGTCTTTCACACTTCCTAGTGTCTCTGTCTGGTCTCTGCTGTCTTTCACACTTGCTAGTGTCTCTGTCTGGTCTCTGCTGTCTTTCACACTTGCTAGTGTCTCTGGTCTCTGCTGTCTTTCACACTTGCTAGTGTCTCTGGTCTCTGCTGTCTTTCACACTTGCTAGTGTCTCTGGTCTCTGCTGTCTTTCACACTTGCTAGTGTCTCTGGTCTCTGCTGTCTTTCACACTTGCTAGTGTTCTGTGGACAGCTGTCTGACAGAGAGTTAGAGATGATTCAGATCCTTCTAGCCAGCCCCTCTCTCTTGTCAGTTGTTCACTCAGTCTATGAACAAACGATGCCATAACTTGGTATTCCTGAAAAACAACAATTATTCTTTGAACTGTACTTGACATTTTTTCAACTGGTATAAAATATCTGAATGGAAGTGATCATTGAAGCAGAAATATAGCAGTAACTTAGTTGTATACATTCCCTAGGTTACACATTTTGTTGTTGTTGATACGTCATTGTGGCACAAAAGGATGAATTATAAAATCATGACTAAAGGAAAGCAGTCCTCATCAAGACAGATGAAAGTCGTAAACTTATGACTTGTATTGGACTTATACGTCACCTCCGGACTCACAGACAATCAACTACAGCTTCATGACGGATAAAAGAAAGAGCGGTCATCATTCCTTGCGATGGATGAACAACAACAACAATAACAACGTGTGTGCGTGTGTGCACACATACAGCTGACAGAAGTTCAAAAACGTACACCAATTAGTGAAAAAATCACACTTACCTTGACCTCTCTCAGATTCAGACATTCATCCCAAGAGTAGTACTTTTTCTTCATCCTGTGAACAAACAAACAATCCAGGCTGATATACAAACAATCCGGGCTGATATACAAACAATCCAGGCTGATATACAAACAATCTGGGTTGATATACAAACAATCCAGGCTGATATACAAACAATCCGGGCTGATATACAAAAATCCAGGCTGATATACAAACAATCCAGGCTGATTTACAAACAATCTGGGCTGATAGACAAACAATCCGGGCTGATAGACAAACAATCCGGGCTGATAGACAAACAATCCGGGCTGATATACAAACAATCCGGGCTGATATACAAACAATCCGGGCTGATATACAAACAATCCAGGCTGAGCAACGTGTGACCTACTCCCCTGCATAAGGTGCCAATGTTGGCTGACAGTTCCGGCATGCATGCTGCACGTCGTCTGATACACCATGATTTTATGATGATGAATTTGGAATGGAAATAATAGATTTTAAGTAGTTTCAGGTCTAGGACGGTGGATACTGGTGAAAGCTTTTTGAAAGTCTACAAAGTTGATGATTAAGTGTGACTGAAAATCTACAGATTCTTCAATGAATACTTTGAGGGCGAATATGTGGTTTACGCATGACCGATTTGTTCAGAAGACTGCAGCTTCTTCACTTTGCCTCAATATACTAAATAAGTAATTTGACTTAGTATTAATTTTCTCACACTGCTATCACAATTTCTAACTGACATAAAATTGCAGGCTGCTGTAAAACTGCAGTGGCTGACTCTAGGCTAAGGTTGATATAAGACCTCTCAAGGGACCAACATTGAGCCACTCAGCAGTAATGTCAACCCTGGCAGTTACATCAGATCAGATGTCCATTAACTGAAGTAATTTAAAGTTCCTAGCACATGAGCCACACAAGTTCATACAAGGAGTGACCCACACACCGCTGCAAACTTTCACATATACGTTTAGTGGTACGGACGCTCATGTACATTGGCACGTAAAATGAATATGTAACACATGAAGAACCTTGCACCTCATCATCACCATAAACCAAT